TATTGATTATCATCAGAAAAAAACTCCAGAATCTTGAGTTGGCCAACAAAGCCTGGCTTCCACCCTGATGTGAAACGTTTGGGGCGATTTTCTCTGTCCTTTTGTGCGGCGATAAGACAGAGACCTCACACTCCCTGAGCAACGGGGGTCTTCCTTTTCATCTTTCGAGGGGGATGATGGGGATGCAGAGACGGGCCAGGATTTTGGACAGCACGGCGAGAGGAATCGCTCCTGCCCCATTTCTGTCTCCCCTGATTTCTCAAGGACTTGCTGCTTACCAGGAAACCGAACGGCATCAACGACATGTGTTGCCTCTTCAAAAGAGAGCGGTTATTTGACGAGCACTGATTCATATTGAAACCAGGGGGAAACGGTGTTCGTTGAAGCTCAAGATGGGCCTTGTGGTGTGTACGTTGCTTGAAGAAGAAAAAAAGACAGTGGTAATGTAATAATAATTTTGCATGATAAAAAGCTTCTTGCGTCTTTTGGGGGGAGCAGGGGTCCCCTTTCCTGAAAGAGCCGTCCATGAGAAAAATCTCGAGGTAAGGAGACGGAGGGGAGAGTGCTTTTCAAAGACTTGAAAAGGGGGTCCCACAGAGGAGGGGCAGAATCTGTCCTCCGTCACCCTCAGAGTCCAGGAGGCATCAGAATGGGCTCAAGCAACAGGGAGCCAGATTTTGGCTGAATATCACGGATGGGACCCCATGACCTCGGGAGGCGGAGAGCATTCCCACGCTGGAGAGCATGGGACCCCCATTGGTCTGATCTGCTTAAACTGGGGTCCCTGCCTTGAGCAGGGGGTGGGACTGGATGGCCTCAGAGGGGCCCCCTTTTCCAACCCCATGATTCTGTGATATTCCGAAAGTTCGTGCCAGGTAACACTGGTCCATCTTTCTGGGACCCCCGAACGTTTGGGCGTTTTTGCAGAGGGATGGGATTTCCCTCTGTCTCGGCCCCACTGCCCTCACCGCTGACTCTGGGTCTGTGGCATTTGTTGAACCGTGGCATCGCTGTGGAGGAATTCTCCACCCGTGGTCCGTCTGCCTGGCCCACCCGTGATGCCCACGGATTCGTGTTCCAGTTATGCAGTGCCAGTGTCTTCCTAAAAGCGGACCAGTCTCAGAAACCACAGGGCAGCCTGTCCACTTTCGGTGGCGCTTCCTGGCCACGGGCTGGCCTCAGAATCGGGCTGGGGGGGCGGGCTCAACGAGAAGGAGGGTCCTTCGCCATAAAGGCTGAGAGCGTCTCAATACCCAAAGCACCGTCGGCCATTCCACATGACGCAGATCCCAATTTTTTCCTTTAAAATGTGTGAGATTCAAACCCGAGACTTGGACTCTCGCTCCCCCCCCCGGTCCAGGCTGGAGAGCACTGAGATGTAAGTTTGTAGAATTTTTTTAAAAATTGCTGTATTGTATAGAACTTCGTTATTTGCATTGACTGCCTCTTAGCCTTAGCACAGGCTAGTGTGTGTACACACACAACACACAAAACAGGATAGATCTCATGTAGCCCTCATTCGTGGCTTCCCATTATACTGTAGAATGTAATTACATATGTTGTACATACAGAAATGGTGTATATTGTAGGACCTCTCTATCCGCAGAATCCATATCTGCTGATTCACTTACCCGTTGCCTAAAATGACTAAATTAAACAACCCAGAAATGTATAATTTAATGTGTATTTCCAGGGTATATTTATCAGAACAGGCCACTAGAGGGAGAAAGAGACCATATGTATAGCATTCCAGACATCCGCATGTTTCGGCATCCACGGAGGATTCGTCAGAACAGGCCACTAGAGGGAGACAGAGACCACATGTATAGCATTCCAGACATCCGCATTTTTCAGTATCCACGGAGGATTCATTCCGACCCCTCCCTACATATATATAAATTAATTTGCGCCTTGACCCTTTTGAATGGCCGAACTTCCAACCGTGAACCGCAACCGAATGTCTTATTTATGAACCGAAAAAGAACCGTGTTCCAATTCAGCCTATGTTGCTTTGACTCCGACTTAATATAGGTCTACCCCGTAAATATTTGAACTGGGCTATTATTTATTGTACCAAGTATTAAGGTTGTCAATGGGGCTTCTTGTGGCTTGAGGAGACTCCCTGGTCACTCCGTGTGGCACACACCCTGATTTCCACAGGGGTTCCAGTAGGACCCTCCTATCCACAGGATCGGTATCCACGGATTCGCTTAGTCTGCTCCCAGAAATACATATTTAGGCGTCTTCCCAGGGTGTGTTTACCAAAACCAGCCACTCGAGGGAGCCAGAGACCACGCCATGTATAGTGTTTGCTATTATCTGCGTTTTTCGGCATCTGCGGTCCTGCTGTGTTTGTTCTTCTGCATATCGTGAGTCTTGCCATCGCAAGCTGGTGTTGCCTGGACTCCAGGGGCCTTGCCCACATCCACCGGTCTAAACGCCTCCTCTCTCCTCCATTCCCCACCCTTCGAAAGGAGGGCTGGGCTTCCGAGAATAAGGCTGCCTTTTCTTGGGCGGGTGGGGGTCTTTGGAAAACAAGGTTTGGCCCCGTATCTTCTGATCACCTGGACTCCTCTCTTATGGGGGGGCGGGGAGGTTATTGAGCCAGGCATCGTTGTTAATGGCCAGCTTAAAGGGAGGGGGAGGAGGTGGTGGGGTCCTTCTCTCTGTTGATTTCCCTTCACCTGGGTTTCTGTTCTGCTTAGTTTTAATGCAAGGGTGGGTGACCGGCTGGGTCCCAGATGCTGAACAGATGCCATGAATGAAAGTAGAAGTGGTTAGAAATTCATTTCCAGTGTATTATTATTTTTAAAGGTTTGGGGAGGGTTGTCAGACATTGCAGTGGGGTAGGAGGTTCTTCAGACCCACATAAAAGAGGCAAAGGGGTCTCCCTTCGGGCCTCCAGGAAATGCAGGTCAGTTTTCGGCTCTTGGGATGATGGGGACGACGAGCCCCACCCCCCAAAAATGGCTTCGGAGGCTCTGCTCTCCTCACCCCACTAAGAAAAGCTTAGCTCCTACAGATTTGTAGGGCCAGGAGGGGGTCGGAAGGTTGGTGGGGGCCTGGCCCTTGACGAAACTTTGTGGGGTTCAGCCACTGGGCGAATTGGGTCTTGGGGGGACCCCCCCAGGTTGGCTTGGATCCTGGCGTTTCTCCAAAAGGCAAAAGCACTCGGCTACTGTGTCTATATCATCACTGAAAAAATAATGATTGTAGAGTCATTATGGGGGGGGGGTAGGTGGAAGGGGCAGTGGGGAAGCGGCCATGCTGGATTTGAACCCGTGCTGTCCTGATTGTTTGCATATAAGAGCAATGTTATTGTTTAATCTTAATAAATCAAAATAAGGTTACTTGTTTTGGAGCATTTCGGACTGTCTGGGTGGCTTTCTCTCTCTCTCTCTCTCTCTCTCTCTCTCTCTCTCTCGTCCATGCGTTGAATGGAGCTGGCTGCAGACCAAGTGAGCAGAGAAAGAGCGAATTCGCCTGTCAAGAAACACACCCCCGAAGAAGGCCGAGAGGCCAAAACGCATTGGGTGTTTTACCCAGAAGCAGAGAACTGCTGGCGAGGCTCTGGGGGTTGAGGGTCTCTGGCTGCAGAGCCCAAGGTTGGGAGTTTGAATCCCCCCATGGGGCCTCCTTGTCAGGGGCTGGACCGGATGATCTCGAGGGTCCCTTCTGGCTCTGCTGGTCTAAGAGGATGAGGATCCTTAATAAAGTGTTGGAGAGCTCAGGGGTTGAGGACTCCAGTTGCAGGGCCAGAGGTTGGGAGTTCGAATCCCGTACTGGGCAGGGGCTGGAGTACATGATCATTAGGTGCCCTTCCAGCTTTGTAGGTCAACAGTGATGGGGACGATGTATTCTTCACCCTGGGGCTACAAATCCTCCCCCCCTTTTTTTTTTGACCCCAACCTCTTTTTAGAGAGACCCGCCTGTCTCTTGGTCTTCACGGGAGACTATCTCTCCCATCATCCTGCCCGGGTCTCCATCGACGGTGCCAGGCGCAGCCCCGTTTCTTGGGGGGGGGATATGTTTCTTTCCCTTCCTGTTGTTCCACCCCCCTCCCAAATGGGAATTTTCAGAAATTTGTGATCTCTGGTCCGGAGGAGAAAACGGCAAAAACCGTTTCTGCTGAATCTGGCTTCCTTCGGCCAGGATGGAAGTCAGAGTTTGACGACGGGCCTGCCTTGTCGTCAAACTTGCTTGCAGATTTACTTCCTTCTGCCTTCAAGCAAAAACAGACTTTTGCGCTTCACAGCAGACGGGGGGGTTATTTCTGCAGGAGCCCAAAATAAACTCTGCCGTCTTCTGCAAGCGTGCAATTGTGGGAGTCATGAACGTGCAGGGAAATAAATCTTAAATACCTTTTTGCTTTTCTGCCCTTCCCCACCCGAGATGTTTTGTTTGCAAAGGGAGGGGCCAACGAAGGACGATGGTGGTCACGGTGGAGGCACATCCACCCTGTGTTTGCCATTTCTCCGTGGAAAATGCAACTTGCATACCGGAAATTTAGAATAGGGTCACGGGGAAATAAGGCAGCCTGTACAGTTTTATCACCAACGCAGACTGGATGAGAACTCCATGGTGTAGGTCCCCGGCAGAGGTGGGGAGTTCGAATCCCCCACGGGGGCCTCCTTGACAGGGGTTAGACTGGATGATCTCGAGGGTCCCTTGGCTGCTCTGCCGTTCTAAGATGATGATTCACATCAGGGGGTGATGTTTGCAGATTGGGTTGCGATACCTCCAATAAAATATTGTCGAGACAAAAAAAAATGACGCAGTGGTTTGAGCACCTGGTGCAAACTGCAGAAAGGCTCAATCTTGCAGAAATTTATTAAAAGTTTTGCCTGGGAAGTGGGGAGAGATCTTGTCATAGGAGCCGATTCTCTGCCCCGTTCCTGATCCTAGAATCTAAGGGGGCTCCGCAGCAGTTCTCAAACGGGGTGGGTGGGTTCCCCAGATGTGCTTGGACTACAACTCCCATAAGCCTCGGTGGTGGCCAGGATTTCTGGGCACTGCAGTCCAAGAACATCTGGGGGACCTGAACCCCCACCCCCGTATGGGACACACGGCGTTCTGGCGACCCCGATCCATGTCTATTGGGAAAGATTTCTTTTAGCAGAGGGTTGCATCACAGAGTTTGCCAGGAAATCCTAGGAATTTACTTGTGCTTTACAATGTCTCACCAGTTCCAAAGGGATATGGATCCCGAGTCCTACCTAATCATATCCTCCCATTGACTCTCAAATCCGTCATTCATTCACGTTATGGAACGACTCCCAACCCTGTTGTGCCTTCAAATTGTTTTAAATGCCTGTTGGCATTTTTAAAATAGACTTGACTGGCTCTTCAGGGGGTTCATAAGGCGTTGCCTGTGAATAACTTTACTTTAATTATTTTCTTTATCCTCTATTTCCTTTTATTTCATGATCTCCCCCCATTGTGTTTGCTAAGGGCTCTGTTCTCAAAGCAAAGAAAGCTGTAGATAAAAAGCCTCCTTGTTTTGTTCCTCCGTCTGGAAATACTCTTTTCATTATAGCTCACAGGTTTAAGGTCTGGGGCTGCAGAGCCCGAGGTTGGGAGTTCGAATCCTCCATGGTGCTTCGACAGGGGCTGGACTGGATGATCTCGAGGGCCCCTTCGAGCTCTAATGTTCTAAGATTGTTATTATATATTCCAACATCATCATTATTATTTTAATCTTCGGCTTTGATTTTACAAATGCAGTGGTGAGAGAATCAGCAAGATGGTTCTGGTTGCAAAGTGGAAGGCATTTAATGTGGTTGGGGTTCGAAACAGTTTTTGAGACTTTTAAATTAGCTTTTTAAAAACAAAATAACAGAAAAATGTGGGAACTGGAAACCTTGGTGGAGACAATTTGTGGACAGTCTGATTGTCTCGTAAGACTAGAAACCTGAGTCACCGTAGCTGCGTGTATGTGCTCTTGAAATTACTAGGCTAACTGAAAAGCATAGAGGATGCTGACTCTTGTCCCCAGGCAGTTGAAAATGCGGGCCTGGGGGGGGGGAGGAGATAAAAGCCCTAATGCTGCACTAAAAAATGACTTCATAATTACCAAAATTTAGTGTTTATATTTCTTCATTTAAAGAATACACCCCGGTAAACCCAAACTGCCGGCCGGCTGGCTCAGCTGTATGCACATCTGGAAAAGATCTGAGGTCCTGGTAAAAATAGCAAGCGAATAAACTAAAAATGGGTTTTAAATGATAGCCTTTCAGTTGCTTTTTGAATGATTTAGGGGCATGCTCAGCGCTGGGCTTTCTTGTGTGTTGCCCGCCTGGAACGCGGGTGACTTTTCTATCTAGGGCACTTCTGTATGTAGCACCATAATGGGCCCCTTCTTGCAACGTCAACCCTTAACGCCAAGGAGGTTTAAAGGGGGGGGGGAACGTTACGTGTCAACTCAACATTCTTTTATTTTAAATCAGTTTTCCCCCCTTTATTTTTTTTAAAAAAAGAAGTCAGCAAAGATTTTTTAAAAAAAAAACAGACAAAACCATTTTGCCTCTGGTCCGACAAGTTCCATTTCCGTATAAAATTATTTACAAGTATTTACACCCAACTTTTCTTATACATTAAAAGTTACACGTCTTCGCAAGACTTCCAGTCTTGCCGTCCTAGTGTAGGGGAAGGCGGCGGGCGAGGGTATTGCACGGATCAGGCCACGTTCCAAGCCACGAGAAGAGGTCCACGTTTCAGGGCACTGTCCCGAAAACCTATGCCCCCCGGGGGAAACCCGGTAAGCCTACACGTGCCACAGGGCTCTGGAACAATAGAGGTATGGGGCTCCAACCCTTAAAAAAAAAAGTTCCGCGGCCTTTTGTCTGTCCTGCCTCGTTCAGCGTCTTATAAATATGTCCCCATTCTCCCCGGTTGCAAGAGAACGGCCGGTCGGCCTCTTCAGGAAGTACGGGAGTGCCAGCTGCCTCCTGGAGTCGATGCCCATCTTCGGAGCCCCCCCTCCGGTATGGGCCGGTGTAGTACCAGCTACACGATCCTGCCTGTACCCCCAGCATCCTCATCTTCTTTGGTCCTTGGGGGTGGGGGGAGGGCCTACATGTGCCTCTTCATGTGCAGCGCCAGGTGGTCCGAGCGGGAAAAGGCCCGGTCGCAGAGGTGGCACTGGAAGGGCCGATGCCCAGTGTGCTTGCGATAATGCCGGGTCAGTTCATCCGAGCGGGCAAACTTCCAGCCACAGCCGTCCCAGTTGCAGTGGTAGGGCTTCTCACCTGGACGGAGGGGAGGGAAACACAAAGGCGGTCTAGCACCGGTTGCACCACGAACCGCCACTCCCGGCGTCCCACCCCTGGGCCCTCTCTGAGCCTCCCCCCTCTGTTTTTTCCTGGCTTTGGGGGGGGCCTCTGTGACCACTAGACCTGCTGGCTGGCTGGGGTGGCCAGGAGGCCTTCGGGCCTCTGCAAAACCCGGTTCCTTCATCCCTTGACTCCTGCCCACCCCACACACCCCAGAGGGCAAAAAAGGGAGCCAAGCGGAGGATTCGAATTTGGGACCAGATATAAACTTTCTGCCCTCTGGAAGGAAAAAAAACCAGAACTAATCAGGCTGGGGTGGGTATTAGGGGGCCACTAACATTCACAAGGAGATTCACTTCTCCATTTGGGGGCCCTGCCCCGAGGCACAGCTCCGTGGGAGTGCAGAGTGCGAAACATCTGGAGAAGCAAAACCTGAGCCCCCCTCACTTTCTCTCCCCCCATCCCCTCGGGTTTACTGGGCTCCCCATCGCCAGGGTGTCATGGAATGTTGGGTTGTCAAACCCCGACTCCCCAGTCTTTGGTAGCCCCATATGTTCTTGGACTACAACTCCCAGAAATCCCAACCAGCACCACCGGTGGCGAATGCTTCTGGGAATTGTAGTCTGAGAAAGGCTGGCTTGGGGGGGCTCTGGTTGCAAACAATGGCCAGCAGGTGCCCCTTGGGTAGTGGCGGCGGTGGCGGGGGGGGGACCTCGATGGCCCCTGAGGGGGTGTTCCGGAGCAACCGCGGGGCCTCGGTATCCGCGGCCTCTTCCAGCCCAAGGCGCCTCCCCGTCGGGGGAAAGGTCCTGTCCCCCCCCTCCGCGAGAGCCTTACCGGTGTGGGTGCGCAGGTGGGCCTTCAGGTGGGAGCTCTTGGTGTAAGTCTTGCCGCAGCCCAGGTAGGTGCAGGTGTGGGCGGCGCTCCGCTTGCGCGGCCACGCCCGGCGCCCCCGCTTCGGCTTGGCCTCCAGCAGCTCCAGCGGAG